TGGCCATCAAAGTTTGGTGATTTCCAAATCCCAAATTTCCAATTTCCTTGGAAAGTGAAAATTTACATTCAAATTCTTGCCTTTGATCCACTTTTGTTCAGTAAGACCCATGCAGGAAAGAGTTTTCAAGTGAACATGAAAGCCTTCAATTCGATAAAAATTGCCTATGTGGATTGGACATTTTGATTTCTCTGATTTCATTATTTTGAGGAGCGCCTGATTTCACCGCAATGCCATACATACATTATGCACAGCGTGTTTGATAAAAGTGCAGATGGTTAGATAAATAGACAGCCTGACAGATTTCGTCAGGACTGAATATAATAATATGCTCTATTAATAACTATTTGAAAGACTGATTGATTGATATTCTGACTAATTAATCACGCTATGCTATGTATATATACAAATGTACACTGTTGTATGTGCTCTGGGTCATTAACTCATCGGTGTCTTTACCGTTGAAGAAGACGTTAGTTCAGTTTCCGAGTGGTGGCAATTTTTATGATAGAGTACCTCCGTCTGTCTGCTGGGACGAGCTTGACGGGAAGGGTCGTAGACGCCTGCCGCCTAAATATTCGAAATTGCTTCGAGAGAAGCGTTAAAGATAGACATTACCTCAAAGCTTTCCCATACTAACAAATGACTGGTTAGAATTTGTTTCACATCTCTTTCACTCACAGACGTCTTCATAAACAATGACACGTACGCCTACAAACAAATTATGTGCACGTACACAAACACACACACGCACAAACACACACGCACACGCATGCACACATGCACTCGCACACACACACGCACACACACACACACACACACACACACTCTCTCTCTCTCTCTCTCTCTCTCTCTCTCTCTCTCTCTCTCTCTCTCTCTCTCCTCTTTCTCAGTCTGTCTACCTCTCTTCCTCTGTCCCTGTTTCTCATGTTGTCACTTCATGTATATTGTTACCCTATCTATCTATTTATCTATCTATCTATCTATCTATCTATCTATCTATCTATCTATCTATCTATCTAT